TCAGATGAAGCTAATCAGTCAGTTGAACTCCAAACATGTCTTAGGGACATTAAGGCCTGGATGATCTGCAATTTACTCAAGTTCACCTTTCTTTCTTTCTTTCTTTCTTTCTTTCTTTCTTTCTTTCTTTCTTTCTTTCTTTCTTTCTTTCTTTCTTTCTTTCTTATTGTTCCTTCTCTGCAAGCCTGTCTTGTTTGATACTACAATTTTGCTGATAAGTCTTTTTATGATACAATATAATTCCCCAGAAAAAACAAACAAACAGTAAAACTCTCCTGAAAGTGTCAGAGTTCATCACTGTAAAAGTAAGCACTTGAGAAGAGAAGATATTTGTGGTTTAAAGGTGATATAATGGGTTTTTTAAATCCACTTGTTTTCATGTTTCATGGTTTGTTTTTATTGTTTTTATGTTTTAGAGCAGCAGAAGAGCAGGTCATTGTGATGATTGTCTTGTGTTCTGTTGTTCAAGGCAGTGGTGGAGAAGAAACCCTCAGGAGGTTGCATTCAATTATTGTCAGTCAGTGTCTCAAGAGTAAAGTAACTGTAAAGTTACATTTGTTCAAGCAACGTTGTTTTAAGATTCAATTTGTAGGGTTTAGGAAACTCTGGTGGGTGATTTTGTAGAGTGGTCTAGTAGGAGGTCAAGGACTGTGAAGATCCTGAAGCAGCCTAGCCATCCTGGAAACTCTCTCTTCTCCCTTCTGCCGTCAGGTCGACGCTATTGTTGCCTAAAGACTGCCACTGAGAGAATGAAGAAGAGTTTCTTTGCTCAGGCTATCCGTTTGCTCAACTCTGAGCTTTAAAACCGGACTGTGCAATATACACGGGCACCTTTTACATATGCACCTTATATATCACAACAGTGTTCCACTTGCTGTATTTATTTGATTATTACTTGTATGTGCACATGTGTATGTACACAAAAAGTATATATACTTCTTTAACACTTATTTTATTTTATTTTCTTCTTCATTGAAACTGGAGGCTGGTACAAAATACATTTCACTGCACATTGTACCGTGTATCAGTGTGTGACAAATAAAGCTCATCTTGTCTTATCTAGGAATTAGCTGCATCTCAATGTGGCCAAGACCAGGGAGATGGTGATCAACTTCCAGAAGAAGTGGACAGCTACACAGCCGCTGCACATCCTGGGTGAGCACATGGTGGAGGAGTACCTGGTTGTCTACCTCAACAGCAGACTGAGCTGGAGGACCAACACTGACTCTGTTTATAGGAAGGGGATGAGCAGACTCTGTTTTCTGAGGAAGCTGAGATCCTTCAACGTATGCAGCAGGATGTTGGAGGTCTTCTACCAGCCTGTGGCCAGCGCCCTGTACTTTGCAGTGGTCTGCTGGGGGAGCAGCATCAGAGCCGGTGATAAGTACAGACCGAACTTACTGATCAGCCAACTCCCTGATTGGTTGCAAACCAGACTGTCTTGAAGCTGTGGTGGAAAGGAGGACTTTAACTAAACTGTTGTCCATCCTGGATAACCCTGACCACCCGTTTCACCCCTTGCTGGACAGGCAGCGGAGCAGCTTCTCCAGCAGGCTGGTCCAGCTCCGCTGCCACAAGGACAGATACAGGAAGTCTTTCCTGCCACATGTACTAACCCTGTTTAACTCATCACCCCTGGCAGGCAGAGAGCTCTCAGCCCTCTCTGCCTTGTAACATCTGGTTCCATCTTTGAAATTGCCCTTTGCACACTCTGTTGTACTCTTTTGTTGCACATTATTATTTGCACTACACTCCACACAGGACTTTTCAACTGTTTTACAGACTGTAGAGAGGATTGGTAAACTGGATCAACTCTGCTGTGTGACCCAACCTACCTTCACTCTGAAAACCTCAACCTACCCTGAATACACCAACCTGCGCTAACCTTAACCACCAATCACAGCAAAGGATCCTTCCAGCCACGTCCACCTGGTTGGCGTTGACCTTTTGCATTTTTGTGGCCACCAAATATTCTCATATGCACTCGGAAGGAGAGATGAGGAGAGGGGTTTAAATATGTATGAGTTCTTTTCTTAAGAGCTTCAGTAGAAATCAACTGGACTTCTCTTTCATGTTCCTTCAAAAACCTTAAACGAGTTGATTTTATTCTTATTTTTCAAACAGGCCTTCAAGGACCAGTGTGTAGGATTTAGTGGCATCCAGTGCTGAAGTTACAAACTGCGACTAATGAATATTCCTCTCCTCACCTTCCCCTTCCACGTGTGTTGGCTCAAAATCAGCCAGGACTTCAGAAATAATAAAGGAACTTTAGGAGAAGTCATATACATTTACTATTCATTAACAGTTGTTGAGTTGTGGCACGTTTAGTTGGAGCTTTATTGTTTGTTTTTGTGTGGATTTATATCTTTATTGTATCATATAAGAGCTTATCTGCAGAACTGAAGCATCAAACGAAAGTGGCCTGCATGTTGCTCCTGACGGCAGGCGAGAGTCATCGAAGCACTTTGGAACTGCTAAGAGGAAAGAAAACGCAATATAAGTACAATATGGTGACCATTTAGTGCATGTGCAGTTTGCTTTCATCACTTACTATCCATTTGTTTTTGCTTAGTTTTAGAAAAATAATCCCTTCAAAACTAGATCAGTGAATTTGCTGTTGTTAGGAGCAGTGGAGGTCAGTGATGTGGTTTCAGAATGTAAAGGCAACACTTCCTTTTTTTCCACATGCTTCAAAGAGACTGTCTGCATAGTTGGCACAATAGCATTGATCACATGTATTTGACGACGATAAAATTTGAGCTTTATGTGGAAAAATAAATATAAACCCATTGGATTTGTGAAGTAGAAGAGCATGAGGCCGTCACCACGCTGTAGCTCCAGTTCATGGTCGTCTGAAAGAGTCACAGCACTCAGAGCCAAATCAAACAAACAAAAAGAGGATCATCTTTGTGTCCAAGTCAAAGATTACACGAGCTGCACTAATTCACGTTAACAAGGATCTATCAGATGGGGGGGCCACTATAGCTCACCTGGTTGAGCTGGTGGCCCGTGTTTAGGGGCTACAGTCCTCGACACAGCGGTCATGGGTTTGAGTCCTGCTCATGACCCTTTGCTGCAGGTCTTTCCCCCATTCTTCTGCTCCTACTTTCTTCTCTCTCTCTGTCCTATCTAATAAAGCCAAAAAATATCTATCAGACGCAGCTGAGAGGCTGCTTTCTTTTCCATCCTTCAGAGAGGGCGTCTGAACTGGGTGTCGTATCATTGGCAGCCGTTCACAACATCACAGAATGTAAGCCAGAATAAGACCACCAACTCGCCTGCAGATGTCACATAAAACCTATAATTTATTCATTTTTCAGTAAAATTTTTTTTGACATAGTAAAACGCAGCTTTAGAAAAGACGTGTGACTTCAGCTGTCCGCGGGGTGAGGGGACACGAGGGGAGACGTATTGCTTTGTGGTTAACGTTTTTTTTTTGTGTGTGTGTTTTGTTTTTTTTTCATTTACAACAGATAAATAATACCAACATACCAAACATAGGCATATATTTACACATCAACAATATTACAATAGTACAAAGCCTTCAACATGTCCTCTCTTGCATTGTGAACTTTGTGTCATTTTTTTGTTTGTTTGTTTTTGTTTCATCATGCAAACAGGTTTTAAACAACACTGCTTAAAAAAAAAACAAAAAAAAAAACAACTTAACTTTACACACTCGTGACAAATGTCTGTTAGGACGCCCAATACAGCCTCCCGTTGGTTTTTCTCTCAATTTACCGCCTCCGACAGCAGCGGAAAGCGCCAATCGCACCGAGCCGCTCTTGTGCTGCCCTCAAGTGGCCACAAAACACAAGCACTTCTACATTCCAGGGTTGCAGCTTCAAACCACAAAACGTCTTTTCGTCTCATGTGTGCACTTCTACATGGCTGTATCTCTGAACATGGCACAGAAACCGAAACATTTTGTCACCAGTGAAGTACATAAATAATATATTACAATAAATAACTAATAGAACAAGTATTCTGCTCTTTGAACACAGTAAGCAAAGGTGTGTGTGTGTGTGTGTGTGTGTGCATCATTTACAGGTTGATAGTAAAAATGACTACCACAAGGCCTTCGTATGACACTGAATGTGAACAGATCATGGCTCTGACTTTGCAGCTCCAGCAGTCAAAGAATCACCGGCTTGGTTTCACAGGAAGCATCTTTAAAATAGTGTTTCGAAGAGACGAAATGACACAGCGTTCCTCTTTGCAGAAACAATAAAACGCAGCGTGGCTTTATTCACTACACTCCGAAGTTGCTGCTGCTGATGATGCTACAGCATTATTCGGTGAGACCAGTAGTGAACGAATGTTAGGAAACTTTAGGTTAAACACTTTGCCACTGGTGCCACTTGGACTGTTTTAGCCAAATGCTTCACTGTAAAGCATCAACCAGGACAGCTACTGGTCCTTCAGCAAAAGTCATTGTTAGTTGGAATTCTTTAGTATGTTTAGATTTTACATCCACATAACATGGAAATGGCTAAAGTAAGATCTCAGTTTAATACAGATTAACAGAGAGCGACTATACAAAGTGTAGGTGAGTAGTTAGAGTTCTTTTAAATGCAGTTACAAGCTGCTCATAGCACAAAAATCAGGTTTAAAGTGATTCAACACTTTGCCATCTTTGATTTTTTTTTCCTTTCAGTGAACCAAAGCTGCTTTTGGCACTACAACAATCTGGGAAATTTAGCTCAACTCTTGTCGTTTTAATTGATCTGCTCTGAACGGGAAAGTGTTGAAATGATGATGAATGAAGGACACTTGTGGCAACATTTCTACTGTATTGCACTTCATCCCGCCTCCATGCTTTCTAACTATCCAAACAATGCAACACATGCATTACTATGTAATATTTAGGAATATCCCCGCTGGATGTTTTCTCCTACTCAGCAGCAGAAACGCAGCCCTGAAGTGACCGGCTAGGAATGAACAGAGAGAGGACAAAAACAAAAAAGGAAAAACACGGTTAAGGTCTGCCGAGCATGGTTGTTGCCTTAATTTGTATTCATCATAATTCCTGAATAATTCCCTTCATCGCATGCTGCACTTCTGTCCTGCGACTACACAGTGAGCCACAGTGATAATTGTCTGACTGGTCGCTCAGTAATTTGAATAACAAATAGATGCTTTGGCATCTTGTGGCCGTGCCGACAAGAACATGTTGCCACAATCTGAGAAATGATTCAAAAAGGCTTTGTTTTGAAGAGAACCGCAGTTAAAGCGCTGAACGATTTATGGATTGAATTTCTAGTGAGAAATTTTGGAGGAAATCTGTGTCCTTGTGCTTCCATTGGTCTATGTCAGATCTTACAGACAGTATCCACGAGACCACTTGTGAATGAAGTGGTCTTTTCAGTCAGTCCAAGTCTCCTCGTCGGCATAATTTTGTGGAATAAAGCTGTTATTTCAACTTCTGCTGTGCAGTACTTTGACTTGTTAGCACAATAAACCTCAAGGACTAAAAAAAAACCCAACAAAAAGAGAGGGAAAAAAGAAAGGTAACTCTATGGTGGGGCTGTGTTTCCATAGCAACCCGACGTGGGATACAATCGCACACCTTGAACTCAGTCATCATAATGTCTCACGTCTGTGAGGAGTCAGATCGGCTTTGCATGATCAAGGACGAGACGTCAAACCACCGCTTGTTCAAGGAAATCAGACTCTGTGACAAAAAAAAAAGACACCGATTCCTAAACAAACCAAGAACTCAGCGGCGCACCTGTGCTGCAAGACTCGACGTGACATTTGGCACTGAAAAATGTATAGGTCCATATTATATACAACGTAAAATGATCAGTATCTATTCACACAAAAACATCAGAGAGAGGAGTGCATGAGAAGCGTCGGGCTAAAAGTCAACCAGGACTTAAAAATGAAAAGAAAAAGCATTAAGTGTTCGTTATTTTTCAAACCGTGGCATGTTGAGGAGAGCTTTAGTGTTTCAAATGTCACAGTCAGTCAGCGAAACCCCCTCACAATGCTTCCTTCACATGCCAGGTACAAGACATTGTTAATGTTGCACACACTGTGGCTGTATAGATTCAGCTGAAAGCAAAAGGTATGTGAAGTGCTAGCTTACACAATAACCGAAAACAGCTCCGCATCATAGACATAAATAACTACAGCATGTAATCCTGGATATACATGTATCACTCGGCAAATATGTGCTATGTAGGTGAAATTATGTCAGACCGTCTGTGGTGCACAAAAGGTTATAAAGAAATCAAATTCCTCTACAGATGTTTTTGTGTTTGTCATTGAAATGATGAGGAGGCTATCAAGTCCTTGTTGACCTTCAGGAGGTGAGACGAGACTCTGACAGAAATAAAGGAACATTCCACCTGCTGGACAGGCTCATAAATAACCAAATCACAAGAACGAAACAAGGGCATACTCAGTCCAATAGATACTGTACAAACTAATTACAGCCTCGTCTGCTCTCTGTCTCCGTTTGGCAAATCTCCGTCCTGCTGCACAGATTCGGTTCCTGTAGAAAGTTCACAGGGCGAGTTTTTAAATCCTCTATAAGCACATGTTCAGTGCGAGAGAGCCTTTAAAGAACAGGCAGACCACAGCTGCGTCTTCATGGGTTTTTGTCAGAGCGCACTTCATCGTCCATTTGGCACCGCTGCTTCTTGACATTTTTGCTGTACAAAGCGTCCTCCGTGTCACGCAGCGGCAGCGTTTCCGCCGTGCTGCATCCAGTGTGTTTTTGTGTCTTTGTTTTGGAGCGCGCACCTATTTGTGTGTTTAGGCGCGTGGCTCCAGTTTGTGTGACAGTTCAAAAAGCGTCTGCTGATTGTCGATGATGTGCAGGTAGTGAACGCTCGCCCTCACCTCGGCACTGTCGACCCCAATTACCTCGTTGCCTGAGAGACAGACGCAAAGCACGTGCGTTAGTCAAACAAGAGTTTTCTGGTGGACTCGAGAACACACACACACACATTTAATACAAACAGACTGTATTATGGCCACATGAAGCAAATAAAAGACTGTCTGGAAATGGTTGCTTAGAAACTGAGAGCGAAAACTGAGTGAGAGAATGGGGTGTAGTACACTAACTGAACTGCAGATGGCGGTAGATTCCCGACAGTGAAAACGTCAATATGTCATCAACACTAACAGTTTGTTCAGACAATGAACCAGAAGAGCTTTCACTGCTGAGACGTCTCTCTAATTTGTGATGACTGGATCATGTGCACCAATTAAATTCACTTGGAAAGGAGAAGACTCACCTGGTTGGTCGCTTTGGCAGTGACGGATCATTCTCACTGTGTCTGCGATCATATGCTGTTGTGTTAGGAGAAGACACGATGCATTAGCGCAATATGAAATTGTCAAGACGTGATATTTTTGGGCAGACTGTATTGCAATACAAATACAACTGAGGCAACACTTCCGCCTCAGCTGTCACCTACTGAACCCTGACCTTTTCTTTTTGATGGAAATATGCAACAGTTTGACTTTTAGTAATGCAGAAAAGCAGTCCAAAAGAAAGCATGACAATATGGAGCTCAGTCTCAGCTTTTAATCAGTCAGCCTGTTGACAAATCTGTAAGAAACAACACCTTGACACGTAAGAGGTCACTGCCTCCTGCTCAACGAGACCTTTACTACTAATGTGAACTGTGCTTTGTATTTTAAGTTTCCTGTACTGATAAAGTGGTGAATAGTGTGCACTTAGGCAGCGCTTCCCTACAAGGGCTGAACAATTAATCGCTTTGATTTCAAACCCATTTGAGCCAAGATTTGACTTGTTGAGTCAATGGTTTTGCACATTCATGCCATCCTCCTTTAGACTTGACAGTGTCTCGTGCCGTCACACATTTTAAATCTACTGCAGAGCAAATATTGAACTGAAACTTGATTTCAGTTACTATCAGCCACTCCAATCTGCAATCAGAGCTTCAGGTTCACTGTCTTGCCCCTGAGGAGGAGCAGAAGACCGAACCACCAGCCTTGTAATTAGTGGACAACCCGCTCTACCACCTGAGCCCATTCGAGAGTAGCGAGCCTGTAATACGGTGCATTCCCATGGCAGAGGACGGCTTCCTCGACTACAAAATACACCACAAAACCAAACGCCACAGCCTCTAAGATAAAACAAACATCCAGATATCATGACCTCGATATCATCAATACCACACGTCTTTCTTATCCTTCGCTTAAAAACAAGACGTCTAGAAAAAAAATCCTTAAATGTCACATTTCGATTGAGGCGCAAACTCAAACACTGGGAGACATTTCAGAACTGACTAAACTCACCAGCTTCTCAAAGTTGACCAGGTTGTCATGGAAAGTCTTATTTCCCTCGTGGATAAAAGTGATATCTAAGAGGAGTAGACAGGCATGGTAAGTTGTCATTCAGTATTTTATATGTGTGTGGAGGGTTTAGAGAGGATACCTTTCAGCAGAAGAGGCATGAAAGGGATCTTAGGAGGTTTCATCCTCTTGAAGGCTTCTCTATAGGCTTTGTGGTTCAGAGATGGATCCTGCAGAGAGACAGAGGAAGAGAGAAAGCAGAAGAGAAGAAAAGGATTGGAAGAGGAGGAGAGATTTAAAGTTCTGATCATGAAATCAGAAGAGGAGCACGTTTCAAGCTCTGCATGTTTCTCTGTCTCTGTTCTCCAAGTCTCACCGTGATGAGCTCCAACTCTGAGAAAAGCTTCTTGAACTTCCCTGGACATTTCTGAAGGAGAGGAGGGTGTTTGGTCAGAACTGGATTTAAAAATACAAAGCATATGCTTAAGTAGACTAAATGCAACAACACACACACACACTCACCTCCCAAGTTTGGTTGAGACGGCTGACAGCAGCTGTATTAAGACCCATGATGATGGCAAATGCAGAATTCAGATTTCTTTGGGCTTTACAGCTAAATGTAAAGCGGGGGGAGAAAAAAAAAAAGGTGACAAATATTAAAATGAGGAGAAATGGGAGAAATGGTCATGTGTGTGATCAGTCCATTTTAGTTTGTGTTTATGTCATAATGTGTTCTTACTGAGCTGCGATCTTGATGAACTTCTTGAGCAGCTGCACTCTCTTGTTAAGCGACACACACATGAGCACCTCTGACATGACCCACTGCTGCACCTCGTTACAACGCTGGAGCAGCACTGAGAGCGCTGCTGTGTGGCCGCTGCCAGGAGCACGGCTCAGGGTGTAGTACACCAGCTCCTGCTGCATGTGGACGGAGAGACGAGCGTGCGTGAGACACATCGAGCTTTTAAGGAAAATGCACAAAATATGTATTCCTTCTAAGATCTTAAGTATCTCACCATCATTTTCTTTAGTTATTTATGTCACTGTCACT